CTGTGGTGCAGGGTGACAGGAGCTGTGGTGCAGGGTGACAGGAGCTGTAGTGCAGGGTGACAGGAGCTGTGGTGCAGGGTGACAGGGGCTGTGGTGCAGGGTGACAGGGGCTGTGGTGAGGGTGACAGGGGCTGTGGTGCAGGGTGACAGGGGCTGTGGTGCAGGGTGACAGGAGCTGTGGTGCAGGGTGACAGGGGCTGTGGTGCAGGGTGACAGGGGCTGTGGTGCAGGGTGACAGGGGCTGTGGTGCAGGGTGACAGGGGCTGTGGTGCAGGGTGACATGAGCTGTGGTGCAGGGTGACAGGGGCTGTGGTGCAGGGTGACAGGAGCTGTGGTGCAGGGTGACAGGGGCTGTGGTGCAGGGTGACAGGAGTTGTGGTGCAAGGTGACAGGGGCTGTGGTGCAGGGTGACAGGAGTTGTAGTGCAGGGTGACAGGGGCTGTGGTGCAGGGTGACAGGAGCTGTGGTGCAGGGTGACAGGGGCTGTGGTGCAGGGTGACAGGAGCTGTGGTGCAGGGTGACAGGAGCTGTGGAGCAGGGTTACAGGGGCGTCATTGTTCGTGGTGGTTATTGTCGACGATGATGATGACGATGATAATGACGATGATGATCTATTGGTGGTTTATCGCTGTTGGATGTGTGGTTGTGGTGAGTGGTGCGGGGTGAGGAGGGGGGTGAGGAGGGGGGTGAGGAGGGGGGTGAGGATGGGGGGGGGGGGGAGGAGAAGGGTGGTGACGTCACTCGATGGGGGTGCGGAGCCGTCCTCAGTGCCCGTGGTGGTGATGGCGATGGTTGTGGTGGTGGTGGTTCTGGTGGTGGTGAGAGTAGTGGTGGTGGTGGTGGTGAGAGTGGTGGTGGTGGTGAGAGTGGTGGTGGTGGTGGTGAGAGTAGTGGTGGTGGTGGTGGTGGTGAGAGTGGTGGTGGTGGTGAGAGTGGTGGTGGTGGTGGTGGTGAGAGTAGTGGTGGTGGTGGTGGTGAGAGTAGTGGTGGTGGTGGTGAGAGTGGTGGTGGTGGTGAGAGTAGTGGTGGTGGTGGTGAGAGTGGTGGTGGTGGTGAGAGTAGTGGTGGTGGTGGTGAGAGTGGTGGTGGTTGTGGTGGTGGTGGTGGTGGTGGTGGTGAGAGTAGTGGTGGTGGTGAGAGTAGTGGTGGTGGTGGTGAGAGTGGTGGTGGTGGTGGTGGTGGTGGTGGTGGTGAGAGTAGTGGTGGTGGTGGTGAGAGTGGTGGTGGTGGTGGTGGTGAGAGTGGTGGTGGTGGTGGTGAGAGTGGTGGTGGTGGTGGTGAGAGTGGTGGTGGTGGTGAGAGTGGTGGTGGTGGTGGTGGTGAGAGTAGTGGTGGTGGTGAGAGTGGTGGTGGTGGTGGTGGTGGTGAGAGTGGTGGTGGTGGTGGTGGTGGTGAGAGTAGTGGTGGTGGTGGTGAGAGTAGTGGTGGTGGTGGTGAGAGTGGTGGTGGTGGTGGTGGTGGTGGTGATGGTGAGAGTAGTGGTGGTGGTGGTGGTGGTGAGAGTGGTGGTGGTGGTGGTGGTGGTGGTGGTGGTGGTGAGAGTGGTGGTGGTGGTGAGAGTAGCGGTGGTGGTGGTGGTGAGAGTAGTGGTGGTGGTGGTGAGAGTGGTGGTGGTGGTGGTGAGAGTAGTGGTGGTGGTGATGGTGGTGAGAGTGGTGGTGGTGGTGGTGGTGAGAGTAGTGGTGGTGGTGGTGAGAGTGGTGGTGGTGGTGGTGGTGAGAGTAGTGGTGGTGGTGGTGAGAGTGGTGGTGGTGGTGGTGGTGGTGAGAGTAGTGGTGGTGATGGTGAGAGTAGTGGTGGTGGTGATGATGAGAGTAGTGGTGGTGGTGATGATGAGAGTAGTGGTGGTGATGATGAGAGTAGTGGTGGTGATGGTGAGAGTAGTAGTGGTGATGGTGAGAGTAGTGGTGGTGGTGATGATGAGAGTAGTGGTGGTGATGATGAGAGTAGTGGTGGTGGTGATGATGAGAGTAGTGGTGGTGATGATGAGAGTAGTGGTGGTGATGGTGAGAGTAGTGGTGGTGGTGGTGAGAGTGGTGGTGGTGATGATGAGAGTAGTGGTGGTGGTGGTGATGAGAGTAGTGGTGGTGGTGGTGATGAGAGTAGTGGTGATGATGATGATGATGAGAGTAGTGGTGATGATGATGGTGGTGATGAGAGTAGTGGTGGTGGTGGTGATGATGAGAGTAGTGGTGGTGATGAGAGTAGTGGTGGTGATGATGGTGGTGATGAGAGTAGTGGTGGTGGTGGTGGTGATGAGAGTAGTGGTGGTGATGATGGTGGTGATGATGAGAGTAGTGGTGGTGGTGATTAACCTGACCGTGATGGCAACTGGTATGTGCTGGTGCTGGTAGTGGTGCTGGTGGTGGTGCTGGTGGTGATGATTGGGAAGAGCTTTGTGACGGGCAGTGTTTGTACCGGTTATTCATTGCCCTGGCCATGATAACACCATTAACACCATTCTTTATTTGCCGTGTCCTGGCCGAGGATGGGCGATTGTCAAATGGTCGATGGCTTTCCGGAACGGACAGACGAGTGGCAGAAGGGCTCCAGCGATGGTCGGGCGTTTGCTGTTGCTTCGGGCGAAGGGTGGCTCCGGTTCGGGGCTATTGATGCTGCTCTCAATGTGTTGGATTTGTGGCATTAATTAGTGACAGGGCTGTAGTTTATTACGTTTGAGTATTATTGACAGTGATGATGATGGTGGTGGTGGTGACGGTGATTCGTTTTTCGATGGTGATTGTGTTGTTGGCTGTGGATTGAGGTTAATGGCCATTGTTACTCCCTGTAATGATGATGATGACAATCATTTTTACTTTTTTTTTGTATGATGATGATGTTATTGTTGACGATGGTGATTGTTTTTTTCATGATCGTGCTGATATTTGTGACGATGTTCATCATCGTCGTCATCATGACACTTTGGAGGATTATGACGATAGTTTGAATGATGTTGTAGATGATGATGATGATGTTTAGTGGATCGTCATCACGTCGCGTGTGCGGCAGACCCAGGCCACCTCCCCCGGCCTCACGAGGCTGCGGTGAGGACGGTATCTACCCTGGGGGGGGGGGGCCTCTACCCCAGGATGACCTCTGCCCTAGGATGACCTCTGCCCCAGGGTGACCTCTGCCCCAGGGTGACCTTTGCCCTGCGGGCCCTCTGCCATAGGGGCCCTCTGCCCCCGGGTGACCTCAGCCCCAGGGTGACTTCTGCCCCGGGTGACCTCTGCCCTAGGATGACCTCTGCCCTGGGGTGACCTCTGCCCCAGGGTGACCTCTGCCCTGGGTGCCCTCTTCCCCTGGAGGCCCTCTGCCCTAGGATGACCTCTGCCCCAGGGTGACCTCTGCCCTATGATGACCTCTGCCCTGGGGTGACCTCTGCCCCAGGGTGACCTCTGCCCTGCGGGCCCTCTGCCGTAGGGGCCCTCTGCCCCCGGGTGACCTCAGCCCCAGGGTGACCTCTGCCCCCGGGTGACCTCTGCCCTGGGTGACCTCTGCCCCAGGGTGACCTCTGCCGTAGGGGCCCTCTGCCCCCGGGTGACCTCAGCCCCAGGGTGACCTCTGCCCCCGGGTGACCTCTGCCCTAGGATGACCTCTGCCCCAGGGTGACCTCTGCCCTAGGATGACCTCTGCCCCAGGGTGACCTCTGCCCTATGATGACCTCTGCCCTGGGGTGACCTCTGCCCCAGGGTGACCTCTGCCCTGCGGGCCCTCTGCCGTAGGGGCCCTCTGCCCCCGGGTGACCTCAGCCCCAGGGTGACCTCTGCCCCCGGGTGACCTCTGCCCTGGGTGACCTCTGCCCCAGGGTGACCTCTGCCGTAGGGGCCCTCTGCCCCCGGGTGACCTCAGCCCCAGGGTGACCTCTGCCCCCGGGTGACCTCTGCCCTAGGATGACCTCTGCCCCAGGGTGACCTCTGCCCTAGGATGACCTCTGCCCTGGGGTGACCTCTGCCCCAGGGTGACCTCTGCCCTGGGGGTCGTCTACCCCGGGGGCCCTCTGCTCCAGTCCCCATGGTGGCGCGCCGCTCTTTTTGCGGTGTGGGCTTTCTGTGGCGCAGCGCGCCTCTCCCTCTCGGAAAGCCCTTACCCCAAAAAGCATCGGCGCGTGGCACGAACAACGACAGCCGTCAACAGCCACCACCAACACCAACCACCACCAAGAGCCACCACCAACACCAACAGCCACCACCACCATCCAACAGCCACCACCAACAGCCACCACCACCAGCCACCACCACCAACAGCCACCACCACCAACCACCACCACCACCAGCAACAGCAGCCACCACCAACAAGAGCCATCACCAACAACCACCACCAACAACCACCACCACCACCAACAGTCATCACCAACAGCCACCACCACCACCAACAGCCACCACCAACAGCCACCACCACCACCAACAGCCACCACCACCAACAACCACCACCAACAACCACCACCAACAGCCACCACCACCAACAGCCGCGTCGCGTCTTAACCACGGTCCCACCAACAGCCACCACCATCAGCCATGCCGCGTGTCTCTCTCCTTGTTTACCCCACCCGACGTCCCGTGGCTCGCTTCTCAGGAGGCTCCTGCCAGGCCTTCACATGGGTGGGGCGATGACGAAATCCCAATTGAAGTAATTTTTGTTTATTTGCGATGTGATTTTCGATTATTTTTTCGTTTTTACAAATGTGGACACCGACGCTGGCAGATGATGATGAGCCTAACTTCACGCGAATGAAGGCAGGGGTCATTGAAGCCACGGTGTTTGTGACGTGATCTTCCTCGCCTGTATATTTGGAGTTTGCTTGTTTCTCTCTCCTCGTGATCGTGTGGATTTTTTTTCTGGGCCCTCTAATTTCCCCTCCACATTTAGAAGCATACACTGAGATTATTTCGAAAAATGTTCGTGCCATAAATGTGTCATGTAGCTCTCAGAGACACCGTCTTGTTCAGTTAGTTGTATATTTATTATGAATGAAGTCCGCCGACTCGCTCCCTGTGTAGTTGGCTGGCCACACAGGAGCGGACGCGTAGCAGTCACGGAGACAATATAACCCTCGCCTTCCAAGACGACAAGGTGCCCGTTCCAGGACGATGAAGACGACCCGCTCCAAGATGACGACAGCAACGACAGCTCATTGGTTCCCCCACAACAACAGCAGCAGCAGCCCAGAGCCCCGTCCCACACCGGCTTTTATCCCCCTCACCACCCGGCCACGCCGCTTTTCCCGAACCCTCTCTCACCTGGCCCTGTTTGTCTCTGTCCCAAATTACTCTTTACGACCGTTTAGGTCCTCACGCGACCCTATCAGAGGTGGCAAACGGGTTTTGATTCCTTACCCGTACCCGGCCGCACCAGGGTCGCAAATGGAACGGGTACCTGTACCCGGCCGGGTACGGATACCCGTTCCCTACCCATACCCTACCCGAAATGAGTGACAAACGGTTACTCACCAGTGACTCACGGCCTACCCGTACCCGTACCCGGCCGCACCAGGGTAGCAAACGGCTACCCGTACCCGTACCTGGCCGGGTACGGGTAGCCGGGTGTCGGGTAGGGTACGGGTATCGGGTACCCGGTTGCGACCTCTGGACAATGTCAGTGCCCATCGCGTCAATTTAGGTCCCACATTACCCGAACGTGACCCTGTCTGTTCCCGTCACGTGACTTAGTAACCACGGCAACGGGGAGCAGCACTGTCCCTACATCACTCCGTACTGTCCTTACAAATGTCAAAATGATGGGCCACTTTATTGATTCATCGTTTGTAGCGAGGTCGCTTCTGAAAGTAAGTTAATAGCTCAGCGGGCTTTGCCTGGTAGGATGGGGATGGTTTAGTTGTGTTTGGGTGATGTGTTTACCTTTCTTGTACTTAGCGCTACTATCGTGTTTTTGTACTGTTTGTGAAAAAGAGCTTTACGGCTCATCGGATTCCTCCTGCGTCAATAAATATTCTGATTCTGAAGCAGACGTGCGCGTAGTGTTATCAATATCACGGCTAATACGCCCGCAGTAATAACCAGGGCGGCCACTGGATTCGGACCGCGAACCTCGGCAACCAGAGGCGAATGCGCTACCGCTGGGCCACGTCCCTGCACCTCCGATTGGCACCGGTGGCTACGTGCGGTGTGAATTAAGTTAAACTTCTAACTCCATACCAGCAGCAGCACCACCACCACCACCTGCAGTTCATTCTCAAGACCCCTGTTGCAAACAGTGTCTCGGGATTCATCTCTTGACGAGATCAGCAGCGAGGCATTGCGTGGTGGTTCATTTGTGGCCAGTCGCTTTGTGTGTGTCACTGGGCCGGATTAGGATTGTGTATGCCCCTGGGCTAGATGTACTGTGAGGCCCCCAGTAATATTTTCAAAAGGAAAACAAAGTTAAAGAAAAATTACATTCATTTTTACAAGGCTAACAACAAATAAAATTCAAACATTTTCTTTGAGTGATTTATTGGAAAAACATTTCTCCAAAGCATCAGCAAATTGTAAGTTATTGAGAACATCGTTTTCAATTGCCACGAGAGCAAGTCTGTTTAGTCGTTCTTGTGCCATTGTCGATCTGTGTGCATTCTTTCGATGTTTCATCTTGGAGAAACGTCTCTCTCCAGTCGCATTGGTTATCATTAAACATTAGGGAATGAATAAGTTAATCCATTGTTTACTACAAGGGTGTAGATGTCAGAAGCTTGTCGTGTTTTATGCTTGTGCCTAAATTCATCAAATTGCCCAACAAAGTTCCTGAAGGGAAATAATAAAATAATATTAATATAAAACAATAACAATTATTATTTATATTAATATTATTTTATTATTTCCCTTCTACGTGACTTTACCGAAAGAACCAAGAATATGAATCCCTGCAGTCACGAAAGCTTTAAATCAAAAAGTTCCTGAAGTGAAGAATTGCTTGCACAAACTCAGGCTCGATGTCATCCCGAGTAAATCTTCTGAAACTTGGCTGCTGCTGCTGTTGAAATGTCTTCAATATTCATTGTTGGAAATTCGACCAGGAAACCAAATAATGAATGAACATTTTCACATGCTTCAATGCGATGAGAAAGAGCTGAGTACAATCTTGATTTGAAGCTTTCGTGACTGCAGGAATCCATACTCTTTGGTTCTTTCGGTAAAGTCACGTAGTTAGAAATAAAATTAAACAAATCACGACGTTTCGATCGCAACACAAGCGGTCGCCATCAGGCAAAGGAGTCAGCCTCTAAAAGCAAACTGTTTATAAACGTTGTGTATCAACAGCAACAGGAGCATGGCAGTGCAGTAGCAATGTCATTGCAGCAGCAATGCCAATGTAGCAGCAATGCCAATGGTGCTGTTGATACACTTGGGCTACGCCCATCCCCAAACCTTTATAAACAGTTTGCCTTGAGAGGCTGACTCCTTTGCCTGATGACGACCCCTTGTGTTGCGATCGAAACGTCGAGGATTTGTTTTATTTTATTTCTAACTACGTGACTTTACCGAAAGAACCAAAGCTGAGTACAACTTGTCTATGATGGATAGATATGTTTCCACCTTCAACTTCTGTCTTCCTCGCAAATCAACATCTTCAGCATTGCCGTTCGTTTTCTTTTCCAATGCTCTCGTTTTTGTTCGTTCAGTATTCCGTATTAATTCTAGATTTGAAGCTTTCGTGACTGCAAGGATTCATATTCTTAGGTTTTTCGGTAAAGTCACGTAGGTAAAAATTTAAAATTAATAAAAAGTAAAATTAAAATAAAATGAGAATCACGACGTATCGGAGGCAACACAAGCTTCCGTCTTCAGGTGGAACCGTCACAGCACGCTTGCTGTATCAAGTGATAGAAATTCCAAGGAAAAATAATATTCAGGGCCTACCTTGGCTCCTCCCACCCTCAACCAGTATATATACAAGGACTGTTTCCTTGGAATTTCTCTCACTTGATGCAGCAATCGTGCTGTGACGGTTCCACCTGAAGACGGAAGCTTGTGTTGCCTCCGAAACGTCGTGATTTTTATTTTATTTTTATTTTATTTTTCATTAATTTTAATGTCTTTTGCTTTATTTTCAAACACTTCAAACTGATCCCGCTGCGACATCAAAACATCCAGTTGAGATTTAAGAAGTTTAATAGCTGATTGAAGCTCCAGTGTTTCATGTTGAAGTGATTTGCTGACTTGATAGAACCTCTCTAGTATGACAGCCCAGAAGTTTGCCAAGAGAACTATTTACAACTTTGAAAGCTGCTTGAGTATAATTTGTGCTTCATAATGTGCGTCAGCTTTTTGATTTCCATCTTCTGAGATTAACTTTAAAGCTTCGTGAAAACAGCTGTAGCCTTTAGACAATGCTTTTGTGGCATCGGCCCTTGCAGACCATCTAGTATCTGATGCTCTTTTAACTACAAACGTAGATTCTCTTCCACCTTCAGCTTCAAGGCACCGAAGCATTGCTGAGCAATATCGAGTTGAACCAGAAAATAAATTGTAAAGTTTTTGTATAAGACCAAAGAATGAAACTGCCCCAATGCAGCTTTGCACAGCACTTAAACCTACCAAATTAAGGGAGCGTGCAGCACATGGAATCTAACGTGCAAGATGATTGATATTCATGATATGTGATTGAAGCCCTTTTGTAGCATCCTGACATGTTTGATGTGTTGTCATAAAAATGTCCTCTTAGATTAGCTAAATCAATTCCAATTTGTTCAAAGAATTTCAAGAAAATATTCTTAGGTTTTTTTCGGTAAAGTCACGTAGGTAAAAACATAAAAAAGTAAAATAAAATAAAAATCACGACGTTAATGTTTTTACCTACGTGACTTGACCGTAAAAACCTAAGAATATGAATCATTGCAGTCACGAAAGCTTCAAATCTAGAATTTCAAGACAATGTTGGCAAGGGCTTCTCCAGTGTGACTTGCAATGGGAATGAAAGTGAGAAAACGTTCAACAACCTCGTTATCTGATGTTCCAACAGAGCGAATAACTACAGTCGGCTGATCAGTGTTAGATATGTCTGGTGTTGAATCAACACCGATAGAAAACGATTTGGCTTCCTTGATTTATTCTACAATGTACTAATATGGGTTTTCCCTATTTTTTCTGGCAACAAAACTGACACCTTTTGCAAGGAATCATGCTTACATTAACCACAATACTTGCAGTCAAATGCAAACAAAAAACAATACTCTGATAATTTATGCATTGTCCTTGAAACTGATTGGTCCACACCAGAGACAGCTTTCTTTAGAGCCTAGTCTCATATGGTGTTCGACCAAGGGGAAAAACCCTATTAGTATATTTTGGTACTGGCAAAGGAGGTCCCATGATGTAGCTGCTCACCCCGAGCTCTCGTTACTCTGGTATTGCGTTGTCTTTGAACTGTGCGCCTTTTGGCGTCATCTGGTCGAACACCATATGAGACTAGGCTCTAAAGAAAGCTGCCTCTGGTGTGGACCAATCAGTTTCAAGGACAATGCATAAATAATCAGAGTATTGTTTTTTGTTTGCATTTGACTGCAAGTATTGTGGTTAATGTAAGCATGATTCCTTGCAAAAGGTGTCAGTTTTGTTGCCAGAAAAAATAGGGAAAACCCATATTAGTACATTGTAGAATAAATCAAGGAAGCCAAATCGTTTTCTATCGGTGTTGATTCAACACCAGACATATCTAACACTGATCAGCCGACTGTAGTTATTCGCTCTGTTGGAACATCAGATAACGAGGTTGTTGAACGTTTTCTCACTTTCATTCCCATTGCAAGTCACACTGGAGAAGCCCTTGCCAACATTGTCTTGAAATTCTAGATTTGAAGCTTTCGTGACTGCAATGATTCATATTCTTAGGTTTTTACGGTCAAGTCACGTAGGTAAAAACATTAACGTCGTGATTTTTATTTTATTTTACTTTTTTATGTTTTTACCTACGTGACTTTACCGAAAAAAACCTAAGAATATTTTCTTGAAATTCTTTGAACAAATTGGAATTGATTTAGCTAATCTAAGAGGACATTTTTATGACAACACATCAAACATGTCAGGATGCTACAAAAGGGCTTCAATCACATATCATGAATATCAATCATCTTGCACGTTAGATTCCATGTGCTGCACGCTCCCTTAATTTGGTAGGTTTAAGTGCTGTGCAAAGCTGCATTGGGGCAGTTTCATTCTTTGGTCTTATACAAAAACTTTACAATTTATTTTCTGGTTCAACTCGATATTGCTCAGCAATGCTTCGGTGCCTTGAAGCTGAAGGTGGAAGAGAATCTACGTTTGTAGTTAAAAGAGCATCAGATACTAGATGGTCTGCAAGGGCCGATGCCACAAAAGCATTGTCTAAAGGCTACAGCTGTTTTCACGAAGCTTTAAAGTTAATCTCAGAAGATGGAAATCAAAAAGCTGACGCACATTATGAAGCACAAATTATACTCAAGCAGCTTTCAAAGTTGTAAATAGTTCTCTTGGCAAACTTCTGGGCTGTCATACTAGAGAGGTTCTATCAAGTCAGCAAATCACTTCAACATGAAACACTGGAGCTTCAATCAGCTATTAAACTTCTTAAATCTCAACTGGATGTTTTGATGTCGCAGCGGGATCAGTTTGAAGTGTTTGAAAATAAAGCAAAAGACATTAAAATTAATGAAAAATAAAATAAAAATAAAATAAAAATCACGACGTTTCGGAGGCAACACAAGCTTCCGTCTTCAGGTGGAACCGTCACAGCACGCTTGCTGTATCAAGTGATAGAAATTCCAAGGAAAAATAATATTCAGGGCCTACCTTGGCTCCTCCCACCCTCAACCAGTATATATACAAGGACTGTTTCCTTGGAATTTCTCTCACTTGATGCAGCAATCGTGCTGTGACGGTTCCACCTGAAGACGGAAGCTTGTGTTGCCTCCGAAACGTCGTGATTTTTATTTTATTTTTATTTTATTTTTCATTAATTTTAATGTCTTTTGCTTTATTTTCAAACACTTCAAACTGATCCCGCTGCGACATCAAAACATCCAGTTGAGATTTAAGAAGTTTAATAGCTGATTGAAGCTCCAGTGTTTCATGTTGAAGTGATTTGCTGACTTGATAGAACCTCTCTAGTATGACAGCCCAGAAGTTTGCCAAGAGAACTATTTACAACTTTGAAAGCTGCTTGAGTATAATTTGTGCTTCATAATGTGCGTCAGCTTTTTGATTTCCATCTTCTGAGATTAACTTTAAAGCTTCGTGAAAACAGCTGTAGCCTTTAGACAATGCTTTTGTGGCATCGGCCCTTGCAGACCATCTAGTATCTGATGCTCTTTTAACTACAAACGTAGATTCTCTTCCACCTTCAGCTTCAAGGCACCGAAGCATTGCTGAGCAATATCGAGTTGAACCAGAAAATAAATTGTAAAGTTTTTGTATAAGACCAAAGAATGAAACTGCCCCAATGCAGCTTTGCACAGCACTTAAACCTACCAAATTAAGGGAGCGTGCAGCACATGGAATCTAACGTGCAAGATGATTGATATTCATGATATGTGATTGAAGCCCTTTTGTAGCATCCTGACATGTTTGATGTGTTGTCATAAAAATGTCCTCTTAGATTAGCTAAATCAATTCCAATTTGTTCAAAGAATTTCAAGAAAATATTCTTAGGTTTTTTTCGGTAAAGTCACGTAGGTAAAAACATAAAAAAGTAAAATAAAATAAAAATCACGACGTTAATGTTTTTACCTACGTGACTTGACCGTAAAAACCTAAGAATATGAATCATTGCAGTCACGAAAGCTTCAAATCTAGAATTTCAAGACAATGTTGGCAAGGGCTTCTCCAGTGTGACTTGCAATGGGAATGAAAGTGAGAAAACGTTCAACAACCTCGTTATCTGATGTTCCAACAGAGCGAATAACTACAGTCGGCTGATCAGTGTTAGATATGTCTGGTGTTGAATCAACACCGATAGAAAACGATTTGGCTTCCTTGATTTATTCTACAATGTACTAATATGGGTTTTCCCTATTTTTTCTGGCAACAAAACTGACACCTTTTGCAAGGAATCATGCTTACATTAACCACAATACTTGCAGTCAAATGCAAACAAAAAACAATACTCTGATTATTTATGCATTGTCCTTGAAACTGATTGGTCCACACCAGAGGCAGCTTTCTTTAGAGCCTAGTCTCATATGGTGTTCGACCAGATGACGCCAAAAGGCGCACAGTTCAAAGACAACGCAATACCAGAGTAACGAGAGCTCGGGGTGAGCAGCTACATCATGGGACCTCCTTTGCCAGTACCAAAATATACTAATAGGGTTTTTCCCCTTGGTCGAACACCATATGAGACTAGGCTCTAAAGAAAGCTGTCTCTGGTGTGGACCAATCAGTTTCAAGGACAATGCATAAATTATCAGAGTATTGTTTTTTGTTTGCATTTGACTGCAAGTATTGTGGTTAATGTAAGCATGATTCCTTGCAAAAGGTGTCAGTTTTGTTGCCAGAAAAAAAGGGGAAAACCCCTATTAGTATATTTTGGTACTGGAAAAGGAGGTCCCATGATGATTCTTCTACAATGGTTTTCAATTCTTTATTTCCCATAGTCTCTATGACTTCCTCACAAATTGTTGAAGATAGATATGAAGCTTTTCCTCGTCCTCGATTACCACTTTTTGCTCTATGATAACTAAGAAAAGGATCATACTCAGCAAGTAATTCAAGTATCCCAAGGTAGTTGCCATTCTGTTGAGAATTAACTACTTCTATATCACCACGAAAGGATAATCCACGAGATGAGGTAAACTTTAGAGTTGAAACTACTCTTACACAAATCAAGATTGAAACTACTCTATGCAGTACTTTTGCCCAGTATTATTTTTCCTTTGTGAATTGGATTTCCAATATTGAGTCAATTCGTCCAAGTGCTTTTCGTCTAGAAATCCACGCCATCATAGAGGTCCCATGTCCAGAACCGTTCTCTTGTTCTGTCATCCGTGTAGAGGCATGTTTCCAGTCTGAAAATCCACCATCGGAAAACTTGGTTTTTGATTCCATGTATACCATCAAAGAGAACGCAAGCAAAGTTATAGGCATTTCCTATCTCCAGTTAAATGTTTTCTGAATATCAGAGTAATGTCTTTCGGATAAAGAAAAGTCATTATCATGGTGCTGGCATTCCACGGGACCTTGTTAACACCAAAAGGCACGTACCTCCTTGGTTATATTTGAGTTTGTCCACAAACCAATGTCATCTTGATACTCAGATCCGAGGTCATCTTTCTTCTGGTGGATGATGAGAATGATGAGAGGGTGATGGTGGGGTACAACCTCGATACCAGTCGCCGTGTCTGCGAGCGCCTCTCATTTCATCTTCGTTGTTTAGTTTTTATTTATTAACCGCCACCACCAAAAGTGCTTGCGCGGTGGTTCATCTGTGTCCAGTCGCGTGGTGCGTCTCGTGAGAGCGCCACCTCTGTCAAGCGATGCCCCCTAGCGTCCGATATCCTCAACTACAGCGCGCTCACGCGGACCGGTGTCGGTCCGTGGCCTGTTAGGAACCGGGCCGCACAGCAACAGGAGGTGTGAGCGGTGGGCGAGCGAGCGAAGCTTCATCATCTGTATTGACAGACGAAGCTTCATCATCTGTATTGACAGCCGCTCCCTATCGCTCGCATTGCCGTATGAGCTGCGCCTCCTGTCAGATCAGCTGCGGCATGAGATTCTCATAGGAGCGCGAACCCTGCTGTCAACTGCGCACACGAGGGGTCTCGGTTGCGCGCTCCTTATGAGAAGTCAGATTCCGACACTTATTTTAGTCTGCGCGTGGAACCCGCTCCCATGATTTAATTTACCACTTCCGTCCGCGCCTCTCTCCCGCATTACGCACTTGTCTCAGTTACAGTGTTGGCAAGCCCACAAGCTGCTAACCCCTGGCCAACATGAGTAAGAAAACAAACGTCGTAGGAGAGCTTCTTTGAAAAGGGCATAAGTATAACCCGTAAAAACAAAGTTTTTCACTCTAAATCCTTTATATGCGTGGCGGCTAGAGTCCTCTCGTCCTCTGGCTTGAGATGGCTGCCACCTATGGGTCAGATGATTGTCTGCCAGTATTAAGCAATTGGTAATTAAATATTTAATTTGTTTTCCCTAAACGGTGTAAAATTTTGGAATTTTTTTCACGAACATTAATTGTCTCGCACAACGAGTCTGTGTGCAAAATGTCAGCTCGATTGGATCACGGGAAGTGGGTTAAAAAACGACCGAAAGATGTGCACGGTCGTAAGCAAGCAAGCAAGCAAGTGAACTTAATATAAAGGATTTAAATAAGTATAACCCGTAAAAACAAAGTTTTTCACTCTAAATCCTTTATATGCGTGGCGGCTAGAGTCCTCTCGTCCTCTGGCTTGAGATGGCTGCCACCTATGGGTCAGATGATTGTCTGCAGTATTAAACAATTGGTAATTAAATATAATATTTTTGTCCTATAAAGTGTAACATTTTGGAAACATTTTTTCACGAACATTAATTGTCTCGCACAACGAGTCTGTGTGGAAAATGTCAACTCGATTGGATCATGGGAAGTGGGTTAAAAAACGACCGAAAGATTTGCACGGTCCTAAGCAAGCACGCAAGCAAGCAAGCAAGCACGCGAACTTAATATAAAGGATTTAAAAAAGACGGAATGATGACCCTCCGCCCTCCGGTCCGTGAACAAAAATTGTCTCCCACGAAACCGGCCCCTGGCGCCAGAAAGGTTGGGGACCGCTGCTCTCGAGGACGCTTGCAGGAGAAATTTGGCGATGAAGTAATAATAGTCCCTCGGACTATTATTGCAAGGAGGTTGCTTGCCGCTGCTGCTAAATTTGGGTTTTTAATTTGTAAAGATTTTTTCAGCCAATCAATGTTATTAATGGATGTTGTTAATTCATGTTATTATGATACAAGTGGGGTGGAGGAACCCGGAGAGCCCGGAGAAAAGCCACGCCTTGCGCGAGGGGGCAACGCGCTATCCCCCCGTACAGACGGAATAAACAGTTGGAGCCGCTGGTTGAGCTGACGTTGAGCTCACGTTGAGCTCACGTTAAGCTAACGTTGAGCTAACGTTGCGCTAACGTTGAGATAACGTTGAGATAACGTTGAGATAACGTTGAGCTAACGTTGGATCGGTGACGCCACCAAGTTCCACGTTAACTGGGATTCTGCTCAATCATTCTACTGCCAACTTGACCCCACGTTTGTCAACATTCGCTCATTTTTCTCGCGCTACAACCTCGCACAAGACAAAGATCCCCCGTATAGGCTGTAACAGACTGTTGGGGCAAGTGCTGTTAGCGAGCACCTATGAAGGCCGGCAAGGCACACGAAGGGGTGGGTGGCCAGCACCACGCCCGGCCGCCTTTGTTTCCCCAGTGGCGATGTTTACACACCGTACCGGGTACTCATTTGAGGCTGAGTCGACCTAAGGGAGGCCCATGACCGGTTCAGATAATCGTCCCTGGTGTTTGCCATGAGCGGAAATCGAACTCAGGTCGTCGGGTTCGTAGCGCAGCGCGCTAACCGCTGCACTACCGCTCCCACTGACTGACACACACACCCACTGACACACACCCACTGACACACACACCCACTGACACACACACCCACTGACACACACCCACTGACACACACCCACTGACACACACACCCACTGACACACACCCACTGACACACACCCACTGACACACACACCCACTGACACACACACACTGACACACACACACTGGCACACACACACTGACACACACAAACTGACACACACTGGCACATGCACACGGAGGCGTCCACACGCTTTGCACAATAGAAGCGAGATTTATCAACGGTAAAAAAAATAAAGTGTCCACAATCATCATTACGCACCGAAACCTTTAATTCAATAAACTTTTGTTTTCATAGAAAATTCATAAATACAAAAATATAAATGTGCTCTTTGCAGTAGTTTTTTAAGTTACATCTGTGTATATATATTATTTACAGTCTTGCGGACGGTACACAAGAAGCGCGCGCACTGTCGCAAATTGTCAGCCGCAATCGCAGAGTTCCACCACCACCACGCGTCCGTCTCAAGCAGAGTCACGGGGCCTGCGGTCTCCTCCATCTGTGGTCTCCTCCGTCTGTGATCTCCTCTGCCTCGTCCTCCGTCTGCGTGATCTTCGTCTCGAGTGACGCCACGACACTTTGGCTCCTCGTTCACCCGCGGGGCTCGTGCTTGCGAGAGATATTTCCTCCTTTTAAAACGTCAAATCTGCAAAAGAAAACATTTTTTTTTACAAGTTAGATCGACTGAAATCGTCGTTCGCGTTCCCTTGCTGGCTACGTCAACAGTCACGGAAACTCTCAGCAGACTGGTTTTTTTGAACACGCAAAGAATAATTTACAAAATGCGATAAATATCACGTGAGCAGCATCTCACCCACGCCCAATCAGCTCAAGCCTCCAGTTCGTCACGTGACTTACGCGTGGCCACCCCCACTATGAACCCCTCGCCCCGCCCCCTGTGAAAACAGACGCTGCTCCGTGCTGCTCCGTACAGCTCACTTCCGCTCACTCCTTCCCCTCTTCTGACCCGCCCCGAGTAACGCTCCTCTTATCAGCTCATCGGATTCCTTCAGTCCAAATATTCTCATTCTAATTCTCTCTCTCTTCCCTCCCCTGTCATCATCATCACCACCACCCTCTCATCAATGTCATCATCATCACCCTAACCGTTATCATCACCACCCTCTCATCATTATCATCATCACCCTATCATTATCATCATCACTCTCTCATCATTATCATCATCACCACTCTCTCATCATTATAATCATCATCATCACCATCTCATCATTATCATCATCACCCTCTCATCATTATCATCATCATCATCACCCTCCTATTATTATCATCACCACCCTCTCATCATTATCATCATCATCACTCTCTCATCATTATAATCATCATCATCACCATCTCATCATTATCATCATCATCACCCTCCTATCATTATCATCATCACTCTCTCATCATTATCATCATCACCACTCTCTCATCATTATAATCATCATCATCACCATCTCATCATTATCATCATCACCACCCTCTCATCATAATCATCATCATCACCCTCCTATTATTATCATCACCACCCTCTCATCATTATCATCATCATCACCCTCCCATTATTATCATCATCATCACCCTCTCATCATTATAATCATCACCACCATCTCATCATTATCATCATCATCACCACCCCTCTCATCATCATCACTACCCTCTCATCCCATCCCTTTCTCTGTCATCTCGCCCCCAGCCCCCCCCCCCCCGTCACACTCGCCCCCCTCCCCCCCCCCTCTTGCTGCCCTTTGACCCGCGGTTGTTGTAGCGGTGGTGCGGCACAACGGGGTCAAAGGTTGTTAACGATTCACCAAACATCACAAAGGGGGACTGGGGGGGGGGGAGGGGGGCACGCACCGGTCAGCATGGCGCTCGTCTGGGGCAGCAGCGACTGCTGCTCGTCCGCGCGGCCTCCGCGCTTGTCCGAGGCCTCTCGGTGCGCTCGCTTCGTCTTCACGAAGTAATCTGCGGACGGGAAGAGCGCAGAGAACACGTTAGTCAAATGTGTGCGCTGAGACAAGCGAATGACTGTGTGTGTGTATATACAAAGACAAAGAGCCCCCGTATAGCCTTAACAGACTGCGGCAAGTGCTGTTAGCAAGCGCCCATGAAGGCCACGAGGGGGGTGGGTGACCAGAACCACGCCCGGCCGCCTTTGTATCCCCAGTGGCGATGTCCACACACCGCATCAGGTACTCATTTGAGGCTGAGTTGACCTAGGGGATGCCCAGGACCGGTTCAGATAACCGTCACTGGGTGTTGGCCGTGAGCGGGAATCGAACTCGGGTCGCCCGGTTCGTAGCGCAGCGTAACGCTAACCACTACACCCACCGCTCCCCACGCACACACACACAGCATGTACGCACACGTGTACACTACTTGTTGCATACCGTGGACATACGTTTGCAGACGCGAACAGAGTCCCTCTGATACATTTTCCAAAGTCTAGAACAACACCGCATTTTACTCAATTGGGATTATACGAAGCAAACCGTCGTCCCCACCACCCTGCACCGTACGGACATGAAATTGAGACTCAAAACTTGGTCTCCGGCGTTCTCAACTGGTTGCACAAACTCACTCATCTCACTCACTCGCTCAATGAATCGCTCACCCTACCCACCCACCATCGCAACCCATTCACTCACCGAAACGTTCACTCGCTCGCCCACTCGCTCACTCGCAGATGGGACTCATCCTGACCTCGTGAGTTATCACCATGATCAAACGAAATAAGCTTGGAGCGTGGCTTTAACACGGCACGTAAGCCGGTGTCATTGCCACTGTTCTGTGTGCTCACGAGGCAGAAAGAGCTTTTGAGTTTGTGATCGGTTGTTAAGTTTTTTTTTTTATCGAGTTGCCCGATGGCTAGGAGATGTTAACTACCTTGCCTGGTATACAGGAGGTCGTGAGTTATATGCCAACCCTGACGCCTGCTGCTGTATATTTAGAGTTGTCATGTCTCTCTCTCTCTCCGTGGTCGCATGGATTTTACTCCGGGTTTTCCGGGATTTTCCCCTCCACATTTCGAATCAACATCACGCGTTTAGAGTGTTTGGCTGCTATTAATTTCCACGCGATGATAAGCGCACCTTGTTGAGCTATTATTTGTGGCCAGGACGCTTCTGATAAAAAAAAAGCTAATAACTCAGTGAGGCCTTAACTGGTAAAATAAAAAAATAAAAATAAATGGTTTAGTTTATACGTAGGCTTTCGCGACCAATAGCATCCATAATACAGGGTTTTTTTCACGTAAATAGTATTATCGTGTAAATATATATTTACGCGATCGAACCCAAAAAAAAACCTGTATTATGGAGTTCATTTTATGTAGAGAGAGACGGGAAGACGTATAATGAGAATGAGACGTTCAAAAAAAAAACTTTACAAATTTAGCTCCAGCAATTGCAGGGCTGCATTTTACGCACCACTCGCGGTTTGCCGAAACGACTCGACGAGACATAGCCACGACCCTCGTTTCAATCGGCACCACCCACCGCTGCACCACCCCGTGCCTCACCGGCGATGCGCGTAGCCGGCCGCTTGCGATGCGCCGAGTTGAACGCGGGCGGCGTGACCTCTGCGATTGGCCTGAAGGAGCTTCGAGACGCGAGGCTTTCTCCAGCCGGCCCCGTAATCTCCGTGTTGCCGCTGTTGGAGTTATTTTCCGCGTCGTCGTCGTCGTCGTCGACCGCGTGCTCGCCGTCGTCCCCGCCGTCACGGACGACGTCACAGTCGCAGCCGTCACCGTCTCGCGCGACGGCTGCGGGTCGGTAAAAGTTGGGCACCCGCACGGCGTCCACCTCCTCCCATCTCCACGCGGCCCCAGCCGCCTTCTCGCCAGCGCCCTCCTCCTCCTCATCATCATCCCCCTCCTCTGCGCGCTCGCACGGTCGCCCTGCAGCGAAGTCGAACCCCCACCGCGCGCGCGCAGCGGCCGCATCGTCGCGGAGTTTCTGCGCGAGCTCGTGACGCACGGAGAGAAGACACCGGGCCCGCTGCTGTTGCTGCTGCAGCTGCTGCTGCTGCGTCGTCTCGTCGGCACCGCCGAAGAGGAGGCGGCGGCGAACGCTGGCGACGCGACCCGGAGGGATCACGCAGGGCAGGGGCACGAAGAGGCGGCGGCGAGCGAGACTCGGGCCGCCGGCGGAGGTGGTGGAAGAGGAGCGCGGGGGGAAACTCATGACTGCTGCTGCTGCTTCTGCTGTTGCTGCTGATGTTGCTTCTGCTGCTGCTGCTTCTGCTGCTGCTTCTGTCGCTTCTGCTGCTGCTTCTTCTGCTTCTTCTGCTGCTGCTGCTGCTTCTGCTGCTGCTTCTGCTGCTGTCGCTTCTGGTGCGTTCGGAGCGAGTCGAGGACGCCCCAGGATTTCGCGGTTGCAGCAGCGAAGCCAAAGCGACCACAACCGAATCAGATACGCAGGGTGCGTGAGTGAGTGAGTCAGCGTGCTCACGCGTTTGCGCGTTGTGTACCCGCGTGTCGGTGCGCGTGTGTTTACAGAAGACGTGTACGGCAACCGCCTGTGTCTCCCTCGAACGAAGTGCAATATACCTGTTGACCTACGAGTTACGTATCGTATAGCCACCCTCGTTACACAAAGTTGGCTCGATAGCTTGCACTAAAATCTGCACGTGTAGCGTGAGTATCCCTGCGGCACGGTATGCGGCGCGCACGTGAATGTAAGCGCTCGCGTCTGAGCTCCTTCTCTGTCGTGATCGCGTAGAGACCTGCAAACACTCCCACGAGTAACGTCAGCGGCCAGGCTCGTGTCTCACACAGAGAGAGAGAGAGAGCGGAGATGAGAGGGCAGCCGACGTAGAATCAGGCCAAGTTGACAGCTGCCTTCAATCCGCCTCCTATTTATACCCGCCGGGTATTCGCTCCCCCATTGGTTGACTCGTGGAGACTATTGGAGTCACTTGGCATATTTTAAACGAGACTGGGGGGGGAGGGGGGTCTGTCGAGGCTTGTCGGATGAGCCACATGAATAACGCATGAACCAAATATCCAACCCGTTCGTGTCGCCGCCAAGGCACTCTTCCACGATGTATCGGCGACCTCTCTGAGTCTGTGGACATTTTTTCTTGGTTCTTTCGGTAAAGTCACGTAGAAGGAAAATAATAAAATAATAAAAATAAAACATAATAAAATAATTATCCCGACGTTTCGGCCACAACGCAAGCAGCCGTCTTCAGGTGGAGAACAGGTCTGTCGAGAAGGCAGAGTCAGAAGTAGCTCCAAGCCTAAGGCGTGCCATTCTACGTGACTTTACCGAAAGAACCAAGAAGATTAATCCCTGCAGTCACGAAAGCTTTAAATCGAAATTTTATTGTTTGTTTTAAAACGCGCCTACAAACACCGACGTGTACGTTTTAGGCTCACGAAACTTCTTAGCTCACCGAGTAAATCGTTACTAAAAACGTGTTCGTGATGTGATTTCGATGCCGAGCGCATGCATGCATGCATGCTGCGTCCTGTTGGACAGCGCGTTGAGATTGTTGGTGAAGAGCGTGACACAGATGTCAGTATTGTCACCCAGCACACCGCCGCCTCGGTGTGCCCTTCGTCTGCCGTCCCTTCCACGCGCGCCGTCACGGTGCCCGCGGTTGGCTACGTACGGCGCGAAAGAAGTTCACCGTCAGTTTAACACGCAGCACGCTTTCGCGACCAATGTCATCCATGATAGAGGTTGTTTTGGGTTAGATCGCGTCAATAAATGCATGTGTCGTTAAAACCCGCCACCACGCGACACGGCCAACTAGTAAGGGCTGTCACGTAAACAGAACGTGGCCAATTCGTCACTAGTACAGCACTAGTGTGTAGTGTATAGTGTAGTGTATAGTAGTGGAGTGTATATTAGTGTATAGTGTAGTATATAGTAGTGTAATGTATAGTGTAGTGTATAGTAGTGTAGTGTATAGTATAGTGTATAGTAGTGTATAGTGTAGTGTATAGTGTAGTGTATAGTGTAGTGTATAGTAGTGTATAGTGTAGTGTATAGTAGTGTAGTGTATAGTCTAGTGTATAGTATAGTGTATAGTAGTGTAGTGTATAGTGTAGTGTATAGTAGTGTATAGTAGTGTATAGTGTAGTGTATAATGTAGTGTATAGTAGTGTATAGTGTAGTGTATAGAAGTGTATAGTAGTGTAGTGTATAGTAGTGTAGTGTATAGAAGTGTATAGTAGTGTAGTGTATAGTAGTGTAGTGTAGTGTATAGTGTAGTGTATAGTGTATAGTAGTGTAGTGTATAGTATAGTGTATAATAGTGTAGTGTATAGTGTAGTATACTAGTACAGTACGCCGGTGTGTCGGAGAGCCAGGCCACAACATTTACAATCTGAGCACGACGTTTCGCCAGTAATTACAACCAGCTTCATCAGGCGACAGCCGTGCAGCACGGTGCAAAGACAACGAGAGGCAACTTTGCCTACGGCAGACGTATGCCGAGCGAGCTGCGTTGCGTGTTCAGGCCCACGCACGCAACGCACAAATCAACACGGTTAGAATGCGACCTGCGCGTTTCAGTTACATCTCGATAATCGTCATAGCGTGACCATTGATATTGATAAAATATCGTCATCTCGTGAAAATGATATCGTGGCAGAGCAAGTCTGCTACTTCCCGAACACGGCAACAACCCGCTTTACGTCGTGGGATTCGTTCCTGAAACGGTGCGATAACGAATATCGAAATGACGTAAGATCGAAGCGATGTTACAGGGGGATGGTGGTGGGTGGAGGCGAAGGCTGAGTGGCGACGGATAACGAAACAGGACGGAGGACGACGTCGATGATGATGACGATGATGACGATGATGATGATGATGATGACGATGATGATGATGATGATGCTGTCGAAGACGTAAGTGTCGGGGTGGTTGACGCGACGCATAACGGGTCGTGGCAGTGTTCGTAGCGATAAAGCGACAACGTAGTGGCGAAGCGACGTTAACAAAAGGAGGAGAGAACACGTACGTCGGGGTATAGTACTGTTACACAAAGACGCAGAGAAGACCCATCGTAGCGACGTGGTGGAAGAGGGGGTGTCGGGGGGGGGGGTAGAGTAAGGGCTTGGTTTGGGGGGGAGGCGGCGATGGTGGTGGTGGTGGGGGGGGAGCAGGCAAATCTCTTCTTTGTGCGTGAACGACGACCGGCTGTTCCCTTCCTTTGTCGCTCCTCTTACCCCTTTTCTCCCTTTCAGCGCCTTTCTCTCTCGCGCGCGCGCGCGCCGTGAAATCCTCCACTGCCGCCTTTGTCATGGAGATGAGGGCCGCAATTTGGCTGCGCGCGCCGGAGGATCGAGCGCGCGCGCGCGAACCCCCCCCCTGCCCCCCCCCCCGTGCCGCGCGCGTGCCCGTGGCACGGGCGGCGTGTCAGAGGCTCGCGGCGACGCGTGCGCGAGACAAAGGCGCAGCCCTGCAACTGCAAACGGCGCGCAGGTTTACGTACAGGGCCCGTTGCAGATTGACAAAAACGCAGCTTTGCAAATTGCTAAGACGCGTGGGGATTTTTTGGCATGTCAGCGGGTAAGGTCCCCCACTGAGCCGTGTAGCTGTTTTTGTTATTTTAAAAGCGAGCCTGCGGCTCTCGCAAATGATAGCTCAACGAAAGTGGATCATCATCACCTGGACATTTGATAGCACAGCAAAATAATCGAAACGATACGTCGTCAAATTTCTAATTCTAAAGCTTTCGTGACTGCAGGGATTCATATTCTTGGTTCTTTCGGTGAAGTCACGTAGAAGGGAAATAATAAAATAATAAATAATAATAAATTAATTATTGCAATTTTAAGAGTATGAATCCTTGCAGTCACGACAGCTTCAAATCCAGAATAAAAATAAAACAATAAAATTCTCACGACGTTTCGGCCACAACGCAAGCAGCCGTCGCCTGTCTCCATCCAGCAGTGTGAAACGGCTGTCTATCATCACCACCACCACCACAACCATCACCACCACCACCACAACCATCTCCACCACCACAACCACCTCCACAACCATCACCACCACCACAACCATCACCACCACCACCACAACCATCACCACCACCACAACCATCACCACCACCACAACCATCACCACCACCACCACCATCACGACTTCGGGAGCTGCATGCCACTGTCGAGGTCTGATGCTGCTGCTGCTGCTGGTCACGGCGAGAGGGCTTCAGAATTATTTTATTATGTTTTATTTTTATTTTTTTATTATTTCCATTCTACGTGACTTTACCGAAAGAACCAACAAGATGAATCCCTGCTGTCACGAAAGCTTAAAATCGAAATTCAGGGCGAGAGAGTTTACTTTGTAGTCCATAGGCTGGGTTGTTGCATGGGCACAATCACACTACTGTGGCTTGTGTCTGTAATGCGTCTCTATGTGTCTAATTGTATCACGATGGGTCTCTATTCATCTGTATGTCTCTATGGGTCTCCGTGTATCTCTGTGTGTCTCTGTGAGTTTACTTTGTAGTCCATAGGCTGGGTTGTTACATGGGCACAATCACACTACCGTGGCTTGTGTCTGTAATGCCTCTCTATGTGTATATTTGTATCACGATGGGTCTCTATTTATCTGTATGTGTCTATGGATCTCCGTGTATCTCTGTGTGTCTCTATGAGTTTACTTTGTAGTCCATAGCCTGGGTTGTTGCATGGCCACAATCACACTACTGTGACTTGTGTCTGTAATGCGTCTCTATGTGTCTATTTGTATCTCTATGGGTCTCTGTGTGTCTGTATGTGTCTATGGGTCTAATTGTATCACGATGGGTCTCTATGTATCTGTATGTCTCTATGGGTATCCGTGCATCTCTGTGTGTCGCTATGAGTTTACTTTGTAGTCTATAGGCTGTATCTCCATGTTTCTATTTGTATCGCTATGTGTATCTATTTATCTGTATGTGTATATGGGTCTCCGTGCATCTCTAAGGGTCTCTATATATCTACAGATCTCTATGAGTCTCTATGTATTTCTAAGTGCCTGTATGCATCTCTATGGGTCTCTATATATCTATATATCTCTATGAGTCTCTATGTATCTCTAAGTGCCTGTATGCATCTCTATGGGTCTTCATGTATCTACATATCTCTATGAGTCTCTATGTATCTCTAAGTGCCTGTATGCATCTCTATGGGTCTTCATGTATCTACATATCTCTATGAGTCTCTATGTATCTCTAAGTGCCTGTATGCATCTCTATGGGTCTTCATGTATCTACATATCTCTATGAGTCTCTATGTATCTCTAAGTGCCTGTATGCATCTCTATGGGTTCTCTATGAGTCTCTGCGTGTCTCTGTGTGTCAATACGATACGGCCCGTAGTTTGCATTTCGCGCCACGGCGTGTGTGTGTGTGTGCGTGTGATTGCCCGACTGAGCCATGTTTAACAATTGCAAAGCATCGCTATCCGGCGCAAGTCACGCATTCGCTTCTGAAGGTCTGCTTGCCCGCCGAAACGTCGGCACAATGGGCTGACGTTTCGCGCGTTTCAAGACTCACGTTTTGATTAGGGTGGTGGTGGTGGCGGCTGCCCCCATTGAAGAGCGAGCCAACAATGAGGACGAGGGCCATCTGGATAGCGACGGGATAAAGCGCGCACGTGCACACGCACACACACAAAGACAAAGACCCCCCCTATAGCTTCAACAGACTGTTGGGGAAAGTGCTGCGAGCTTGAAGCACATGTGAAGACCGGCACGGTGGCACACGAGCGGGTGTGTGGCCAACACCACGCCCGGCCGCCTTTGTCTCCCTTGTGGCGATGTTTACTACACACCGCACCAGCTACTCGTTTGAGGCTGAGTCGACCTAGGGGCGGC